CGTATCCGTTGTACCGAGAGCATACGCCATACAATACGTGATTTACAAATTTACGAGTTAGAGTTAATTTGCAATTTAAGCGTTGCACAGATCTGCGCTCTCGGTTATACGCCAGGCAACGCGCTAACAAATATCGAAGTTAATTCGCTCTCGATTCCGCAATAAACGAAGTTAGCGCGCCGGCCGTGCCGAGAGCGATACTCGCGAGAGGCCGGCCTTAACGCGAATGCATACGGAGGAAAGGGTTTCGTATGTTATGAATGAAAATAACGCGTTGTCTCTATCGCGTACCGTACAGCCGCGCGCATACAAATATACGCCGCGTCGTTGGTAGAATAGATCTCATCTTTCGACCACGTAAATATCTCGAGTTATATCAAAAAGATAATTAATTCCGTATATTAAAAAGATAATTTTGCCAGCTGCAATCACGCGATAATGAATCCTCCTCTTAAAAAGATCCGAAAAGATGGTAACAGATTTTTTTCAATTTAATCGTTTAAAATATAGATGAAAAAATAAAAATAAAATATTACAGATATTGCATTTTTAAATCGCAATTTCAGATGAAATCTTGCACAATCGGGGCTTAGAAGTTGAAAACACACCTCGGCTACGATCGTTTCCTTAACGTGATAAAGACATGGCGTGTGCACGCAAAGGACGTAATAAACGGCCATTCCACGGTCGTAGGTATGCCTAGAACGCCGAAATGCGCTCGCCCACCTACGGGTTTGCGCAAAACGAATTAGTATACAAATCACTTTTCAATTTCTTGTTCCTTTTCTCTCACCGCGATAGAGAGTATGCAAGGTCGACGGCGGAGCCATTTGTCTTCTGGACTCGGGCGTGCCCTTGTCAAGTGCAGAACGAACGGCGCAGGCAGGTATACCTACCTCTATGCGATCGAAGATTCTACCTGCCGCCTTCGTAGACATTTCGAGTACGTTTCTCCGGCCGGCGGGAGTTCTATTAAAGCGTCTTGCTTGCCTCGGGCGATATCTTTTTTTCTCTCTTTCACGAAGATTGATAAATCCCGTGGCCTTCGTGTGATAACGTTATCGCGCAGTTAAACGATTTCTCCGAAGAATTGCACGGGCAGGGAGAAAATTCCATCATCGGAAATACGCAGGAAACTTGCGCACCCTTAACGAATCCTATTCTACATGGCCGAAACTTTCTCCGGTCGAAGTCTCGAGAGAAGGGCCTTCGAATTCGACAACGAACGACGGCAAATTGCCGAGCGACGAGCGCTTAAACGCTCGTTATTGGCGACTACCGTATGATAGCTCAATCGATAAAAAGTTGCTTCCATTCGCGACGTCGTACATCATACTCGAAACCGAAACTGACAACGAAATCCTGCTCCTTAAAGCGTACGGAGCGCGATAAATCAAGATAAAAAAATAACGCGAGATCGTTTTTCATCGCGAAAGTCGGCGAAAGAGCCGCTCGACGACCTTGCGCCTCGTCGGCCACGAGATTTAGCAAATCGCAAATTATTCGCGGTCCATTCGGGAGAGGATTCCGCTTATGGCGCGCTACGAGAGCAATCGGACCGCCGCGACAATAAGCGTTTCTGCGCAGCGAGCGTCCCACTGTCCAGTTAAATAACTTCTTTGCGTAATCCCCGTCGAGGGTTCGAAAGAGAAAGAGAGATAAAGAGAGCTGGTATATCGATGCGGCTTACCGGCGGCTTAGCTTTTAATGGAAGCGTCGACCACGCAGGCGCCAAACTGGAAGTTTATAGGATAAAAAGGGACCTTTCAAACCCCCCGATAATTCTCTCTCCGTATTTTTGTCTCGCCCTCGTCGAGAGCCACGACCGACCAGACATTTCGCGCGGAGCTCGAGTAACAGCTGAAACTGAAGCGTGTCGCGGAAAGTTAACGCGGCGCACGAAACGTGGCCGGCCACCTGATACAAAGAAAATCGAGGGCCTGTCTGGCAGTCCGCGGTCAGGGGCGAAGGGCATTGTGTTGCGGGATTGCGGGGAATCGGACGATCAATTGACTTTCCTAATTTTCCCGTGCGACGCGCCGGCTTTAATGTAACGTTACGGGCGCGCGCATGTCATCCGGCCTCCCTTTTCCGCGTTGTCGATCTGCGCGACAGAGATAATTCTATTCGGGCTGGTGATTACAAAGGCGTGAGAGTCGGGCGGATCACCAAATTGCTCGTCATTTGCCGAAGCGGAAGAGCAGAACGCGAAATAAAATCACCGCTAAATTTATAATAATTAGTTATTTAAGCAATTGTAAATATTTTAACATTCAATTATATATTATGATAATTTTATATCTCCTTACTTGTAGTTTTCTTAATAAATTTCTTTATAAATTTCTTTGGGGAGAATAATCCTTTTTAGAAAGAATATAAGATAACAAAAAATATAATATTTTAATTAAAATATTCCTATAATTAAATAAGACAGAAAATAGTCTCATTGCTTTATAAACAACTGCTCATTATACTTTATATACACTTTGTTGTAAAAATATATAAAAACAATATTTTTCCCGTAAAATATACCGTAAGAAATTTTTAAAATATAATAATCAAAGATTCTTTATTAGAGTATTTAAATTTAAATATTTATATATAAAAGGGAGAAAGAGAGAGGCAAATGTCACCCAGTTTCCAAGTTTAATAATTACTTTTACTATTTCTTATAAATTAACCAGTAGGAACGAGATGATGAATATGAGTATGCTTGTTAAATAGCAAGTAAAAAAATGCAATTGCACGGACATATTCGTCACGTTTATTTTTGTAACTTTAGGTCGTGACGAATAGAAAAAAAGTCTTGAGAAGTTAAACATGAACATGACTAATCCTAGAGGAAATTTTACAATGCTTTCCGTGCTTTGCAGCAACATAGATTAATAATAACAAATATTATCTCGTGTACAATATTTTCTAAACACTAGAAATCCATGTGTGTTTTTAAACTTGTGGATTTTTTTTTATACTTTTATATACGTATACTTTTAACTTTATATTTTTAAAGTTCGTAAAAGAATAATCAAACTTTTGCGTTTTTACGACACACACGATACACTCTTTTTTCTTTAACCGTGTCAAAATCGAAATTGTATTCAACTTTTTGACCTTATTTCTTACAAATACGACGAGTTCAGTGAGCTACAATATACTAAAAGAACATTGCAAAACTTTGCAAGAGTTTCTTACATTCCAATCTAGAGCAATCTTGGCTATACAAAGACAAAGTTTACTATATTATTTTTATCACATTGTCTCAAAATCATCAAATTTTCTTTTAAATATATACAATATATATATTTCACAATTGCATAATTAAAGTTAAACACTTTTTTAAAGACATTGTGATATGTGAAATAAGATTGCTCTCAAAAATAGCTACGTTATATAATCAATTAGATTCGTGATACAATATAATTAGAAAATCCCGCTATTGTGTGATTAATTTTTGCTAATAAGGCACTAATATATAACGTTAATATATGAGAACACAAATAAATTTATCACAATCACGACTAATCGTATAACATGTAGGACTTTTGTCGAACAGATCGGCATTTAAGAGTAAACGATCGACAGGTTTACGGTGCCTCCGGCGAGGGACGACATTTGGACAAAGTGAACTTAATCGCTAATTGAGTGAGAATAGTTATGTGTGAACGTTCGGGAGCACGATTGATGGGGTTTTCTAGTTTCTGGACCGTCGGCGAACGTGTAACGACAAATTTAATGCGACTTTTCGTATATATTTCCCTCGTCAATCCATATGTTCGCATAAAACCGACCGCGCGCACGGAAAACCGCGTCGGCGAACGTGTAACGACAAATTTAATGCGACTTTTCGTATATATTTCCCTCGTCAATCCATATGTTCGCATAAAACCGACCGCGCGCACGGAAAGATGACCTCATTCATGCCTTCCCCACGATCACAATGGCGCAAAATGCGTCGTCGTTAAATGGGCCACAGGTCGCGTGTAGAAACGCATTCAATGGCACGACTACTACCTCTCGTTAGCCTGTCGTTCAGGAATTATATATAATTTCAACCGTTACCATTATATACGTATATATCGCGCGCTGCATTCAGGCTTTATGGACACGCGCGAGCATCGATTATGGATTCTATTGGGTTAACGCGACCAACGATTCCATACTTGTTAGATGACTTTCGACCGTAAGCGTTCTTGCAACCGGAAATAACGTAACTCCCACTTTAGGATATACAGACGCATTATGTACGCGAGGAAGATTATTGCTGAGAAAGATAATATTTGCTCCCATCTTATATCTGAAATTACAAGATTTAGATGTCTAAAACGACATGCCCTAATTTGCTATGCAAATTGTAGAGTTATAATAATTAGAATTATAAAGTATGATAGCTCAGATTATATACGATTATAAATTACGGATATCTCGTATTTTTTAATAAATCATTCTTCGTTTAAAAGAAACACAATATCCCAAAAAATAATAAAAATATATAATGAATTTTTTTGCGACGGAGAGAATTAAATTATTTTTCACTCAAATGACTTTATTTAGATGAGCGCGATAATTTCGTTTCCATGTTACTAGGGCGTAACAACTTTTATATAAAACGGTTTTTCATGCAGTAATAAATAATGGCAGTACTATCGGATATCCCGAAATCCGTTGGACATTTCGATATGCAATAGATATTCATATGCAAATATTCACTGAATGTACGTGCAGTGCGATAGATTTATTGGAAATTATTGTAAAACCGACATCTCCAAATCTGTAACATCGAGCCTGTTCTTTATCAAATTCTAATAACTTGCATCATGAATTAAAGTATGCAACGAATATCAAAGTAAGATACTTTTTAAATATATCATGTTCCTTTCTCGATAAATACAATCGCGCAATTTTGTGCGATATAGTGCCACGTAGATTATTCTAGAGATAAATGTAATAACAGAATAAAAGAGAAAGCTTGTTCTCCTTTTTTCTCCAAATGTTTTCTTTACCTAAATTACAGCAGCTCTACGTCCATTGATGATGCATAGGGGGTGGCGGCGGCGGCGGCAGTGGCAGTGGTCTCTCTAGAACGGGAACGGGCGACACATCCGGCATGGCGAACCTTAGCTTCTGCCAAAACAGCTTGTCCCCCCATACTAGCACGGTGTGCGACGAGATCCTCTTTTTGAGATCGGAGTCGAGATCTCGCGGGCACACACCGCCTACCAGCAGCAAAATCACCGAGCGGCCCTTACCCTTGAGAGCGTCTCTCAGGGCCGCCTTAAACTCGAATCTGGACCATTCGCCGTGAAGAAAGTTTTTCGACAGTACGAGGATGGTGCGCCTCGAGGAGTCGGCCGCCTCGGCCACGGCGTCAGCCACGTTGCTGCCGGCGCCAAGATCGCGATAATGCAGACACAGCCTGTACGAGGTTTCGAGGCCCGGCACGAGGATCGTCGAGACGAAGGCTTCATCGACGGCAGAGTACGAGATATAAGCGTCGAACGGCTTCTCCTGATCTTCGAACGCGGCGGTCTTGTAGCACGCCCGTAGGCCGCACCTGCTGGCCGCCCAGGTTCTCAAGGTACGGCGATGTCGAAAGGCGCCGCACACCAACGCCACCGTCGCGAAAATCAGCACGATCGTGGCGAGCAGCAGCGGCAGATAAGCCTCGAGCGGACGTGTCTCGACGACGGAGGTCGTGCCGGTTAATGCCGCGCAATTTATGGCCGATCCGTTCGCTGGAAGAGTTATAGGTACGCCGAGGGAACAGGTGACGCTCTGCCAGTCGTTGATCTTCGCCCGGTTGCGGGCCATCCACTCCCGCACGAGATCCAGATACGAGCATTCGCAGCTCCACGGATTGCTGGAGAGACCGATGTCGACCAGATACGGATTCTGTCCCAGCTGCCAGAGGGCGAATGTGCCGAGCCGATTGTTCTCCAGACGAAGAACCTCCAGCTGACGCAGCGGTAGGAATGTACCGTTGTCGATGTACGTCAGCAGATTGTTCTGCAGGTAGAGCTCTTTCAGATTTTCCAACGGCATCAGCTCCATGCCGTTGAGCGCGCTTATCTTGTTGTTCTCCAGGTGAAGCACCAGCAGCCTCTTCAGACCGCTGAAGGTGTGATTGCGGATCGCGATGATGTTACTGTCGTTCGCGTAAAGAATCTGCAAGTTTTTGCGGCCGATAAACGAGTGCGAATTTAATTCTCCGAAATTATTGCCGTCGAGATAAACTTCCGTCGCGTCCATCGGCAATCGACCGGGCAGAGTTTTGTAGCCCGAGCTGGAGCAATCGACGACGTTCGCCGACCAAGATTGATCGTGATAACAAGTACAGTTCGTGGGACACGTCATCTCGCAGTCGCAAGCGTCAAAATCGCAGCAGTGACAGAGGGCGAAACAGTGCGCCTTGTAAGTGCACAGGAATTGCGATGGCTTAGCCTCTAGCAGAGGTATAAACGACTTGTGACGATCGTACCGTAATCTACAATAAACGGACTCGAGATCCATCACCCTCGGATGCTGTCTCAGCGCCAGCGAATTGATCCTCTGCAACCACTCCGTGGTGCAGTCGCATATAAAGGGATTTCCCCCGATGTAGAATTCCGGAAGTTGCCGGTTAGGCGACACCTGAGTAAGCTGAAGCGCCGAGAGGTTCATATTGACGATCAGATTCGCGTAGAGATCCACTCGAGTGAGATTCGTCTTGCCGAAGAAGGTCTGCGGTTCCACGGATGATATAAGATTATCGTTGACGAACAGTAGCTCGATGGAATCCGGAATCGAGCGCGAGTTTATTTTCGTTAACCGGTTAAACGACACGTCAAGAGTCTGCAACCTCACACTCCGTGACGCGACGCCAAGATCGGTAATAAGATTTTTATGCAAATCCATCCACTGTAATTTTTCAGGCAGGTAGCTGTAATCGAACAGCGCGATCATGTTGTCGGACATGTTGAGCCACAGGAGGCCGGGCGCGCTTGCAAAGATGCCGGACATATCTTGCAACAAATTCGAGTCCAATCGAATCGCCTGCAGCGCCGGATTCGCGGTGAACGCGCCGTCCTCCACGTATTCGATTCTGTTCCTGGCCAGATTTAAGATCTGCAGCGCCGGCAATTCCACGAGATCCCCCTGCGTGACGTTAATAATCTCGTTACCGATCATTCTTAGTCCGTACAGGCTTGACATTCCTCGGAAACCAGGATTGTTGAGGTTCCTGATTTGATTCTCGCCCAGATCGAGCGTTCGCAGTATTCTCATGTCTTTTAACGCTACCGGTATGCTCTCGAGATTATTGCCGGACAGATTTAAATCTAGCATGCTCGAGCAGTTCCGAAAGGCGTCCGGATGAATTCCCTCGAGCAGGTTTGAATCCAAGGCCAGCAAGGAGAGTGCGAATAATCCATTCAGAGAGTAAGCGTCAAGATAAGTCAGACGATTGTGGGCCAGCTCGAGAGTGTGCAGATTGCTCATCGGCGAAAATGTGTCCGCCGATATCACTTCTATTTCGTTGAACTGAAGATTTAAAATCTGCAGAGTGTAAAGATCCTTGAAGAGTGCCGGATCCAGCTTGCTGATTCGATTGTGAGACAAGTTGAGGAGCACGAGACGTATCAGACCGGAGAAAGTCGAGGAATTCAGCCAGTAATTCGTCAGGACGTTCTTCGACAAGTCGAGGGTGACTAGTTGATTCATGTTAGTCAACAAGCCGGGCGACATCACGCTGATGGAATTGTTTTGCAAACGCAACTCCTTCAACGATTTGGTCGCGTCCCGGAACATCTCCTTCGGCAGAGCGACGATTCTGTTCCCGGACAGATCAAGGCTCTCCAAGGATCTGAGTCTGTGCAGGGCTTCGTCGGCTACCATAGAGATCACGTTGCTAGACATATTTAATACTCTGAGCCGCTTCAACGATGAGAATCCGTATTCCGGCAGTATAGAGATCTGATTGTTTGACACGTCCAGCGACTGCACGTCGAGAGAACACGAAAACGGCGTCGACGTGGATTCCTGTTCATATCTCGATAGTTTCTCGCTGGAATCGCGAAATCCGAGCTCCGAAATATCCTTCAGCGTATTCCACGAGATATTCAGAGTTACTAAGTTCGATAACGGGCAAAACAGACGGTCCGGTATCTGCCAGATGTTGTTCCATGACAGGTCGAGTTTTTCGATCTGCGGCGTGTTGTCGAATGCGCCGCTCTCCAGTTCTAGACTGTACTTGGTCTTGCGCTCGTTTAGCGTTCTAACAGTCAGATTACGTAGATCGCGCAGACCGCTGAACAACTTGGCCGGCCAGTGCACCAGCTTGCATCCGGTCAATTTCAACGAACGCAGCCGCCATAGATGAAGGAAGCTGTCGACGCTGAAAACACCGTTCCCCTCCTCGAGATCCTCTCCCGCGCAAACCACATTCATAGCGCTCACGTACTCGCTCGTGGCCTGGGAAAAGTTGGTCCTGAGCGAGACGTTGCCGGCAGCGTAACGATGCAGGCAGGTGAGCGCGCCATCCTGGCGCGAATCCCACGTACAATGGTCCGGCAAATCGAGCCTCGGCGGCAGCTCGCTGGTCACGGCGAGCACGTGGTACACTGGCAACAATAGCAGGCAGTAATGGGCCAACGACAGCGTTCTTCCGCCGGGATCCTCGTGCCGACCGACGAGCCCACGCATCTTTAGCGTACTCGTTGCCTGCGCTCGGTTTTCGTACCGGTTTCCTGTCTCCTAATCATCACACGCCACGCATCCGCGTCACGTCACCGGTTGCGGGTTATTGCCCGCCGCGCGTTTATTACACGCGACTAGAAAGTCTAATACGACCGACCGGGGAACGTGTCACTGAGGTCTCACTCGTTTCGCAATTGCGATATACAAAATTCGCTTCGATTCGATTAACGACGAACCGTCACGACCAAACGCCCATTAAAGATCGACGATAATCGATAGTTTGTCGGCAGATCTCGAATTATCATAATTATTAATCGCGCGATGAAAATTTTTTTACTCCAAAACTTTTTACACCTTAAAAAATCACTCGATTTGAAATTTAAACGGTAAGTTCGATGCGAGTATTGTTTTCGTATAATCAGTACATTTCTCTTACAACAAAAGAAGAGTTATTCTATTGTATTCGCAGCGTTGTCTAATAAATTCTGTACTCAGCTCGGTTCTTTAGAACGATCCACGACGATTAGAGAGTCACGTCACGTCGAAATCGCTTAACAGACGTTAACCCTGTATCAGAATGTTATCCGTTTACGATGATACGCCATCAAACTAATATCGCGTTCCGTTACAATATCCCGCATTCCGATGTGTAGAGAAACGTGTCGTGTTATTCGCTTGACATTGACGTCTCGCGTAAACTGCCCAACTCGCGCTCCGAGATGTGCCATTACAGAATCCCGCGCGTCGCACTATTTCCTCGTCGATGTCGAGCAAATGCGCCCTCGATTTCCCGATTAGAACCCATAGAGAGAGAGAGAGAGAGAGAGAGAGAAATCGACTTGTCCAAGATTCCAGAAGGGGCGAGGCGAACAGCGACGAAGGTGATCTCTTATACGACGAAGATCGTAGGTGAAACGAGAACGAAGGGTAAAACAGTATAAGGGAGCAGAGCTTGTCTTCAACCGACACCGAGAACCGCGTAGCGCTTAGTACGACGGCCACCGCGCGACTGACGTGCGAGATCTCCACGGCGTCTAACTCGACGCAGCGTCCACCAATCGTTTCTACCCCCACCGAGCGACCGGTGGCGGCAGTGCGCGCACACACACCATACACACACATACACACACACACACACATACACCACACATAACGACGGCACCCAAGTGGAGTGAGCACGCGCCTACCGCAGGATCCCGGAGTAGAACGAGGACGTCCTGCGTTTCGTACGCCAGCGCGTCTTTCTTGCACATGTATGCACGCACGCACGCATTTATGTACGCGCACACACACGCACGCATATATACACGGTCGTCGTCGTTACCATTACACGCGATCGACGGACGAACGAGCCGCATAGAGAGAGGAGAGAAGAACGAGCGGACATTGCACGCAACCTGTCTGTATCTTCTCGCCCTTTCCTCCCTCTTCCACCCTCCTCCCCCGCTGGCATGGACCGAGGACACGGTATTGGAAAAAAGCATCGACACTTTACTCGTTATTAGAGCCGACAAAAAATATCGATATCCGTACTGGCTTCGAAAAAGAAAAATATCGATGAATATGCCGTCGTCAATACGAGAGCAAATATCGAGAAGAGATACGGGGGTCTCTATTCATGCAGTTTTTTTTTTTTTAAACATTATTTTGCGTGCGTACAAATATTTGACACGTGTTTTCTCTGGATTCTATTTATCTAGTAACTAATTAAAAAATGTGTAAAATATCTTATTGCGTTCTAAAAATTGTATAAATATATATATATATATAAGCCCTTTTTCGCGTATTGTCTATACGAAATGCACGGTAAATAGTAAACGAAGGATGTGGACATTTGAAACTAGCTCGGATGTTCAGCGCGAGTCGTCATGAACGATCCTCGACGCGTTCTGCTCTGTCCTCTGCCAGTCCGTATCTCCATCGTGCTCGGAATCTCTCATTCGAGGAGAGAGTCGCGTCTCTTGCTCATAGGAGAACTGTTCCGAGAGGAAGCGGGGGACGCGCGGGTACATAGAGATCGTCTCCACGCACACGCAGCGCATACTCATCTCCCGGCTGCTGCTGCTGCTGCTGCAGCATCGCCCGAAGGGTGCACACAGAGAGACGTCGGTTGACGAGAAAGGGAGAGACACGAGAACAAGAGAGAGAAAGACACAAAGGGGAGGGAGCAGAGCCGGCATGCACGACTTTGCGATTCGATTGCCGAACTTGCACGAAGAACCGCGAACCGGTCCTATACCTTCCCCTCGCGCCGCCTTGGAGACGCGACGTGCTGCTTCTTCTCTCTATGGACTCACGATATTCGGGGCATCCAACCCCGACACGGACCACCGGTCGTAAAAAGGTTTCGATCAATTTTTAAGTGGCCGCCGAACCGGCACTGCTCTCTTTCTCTTTCTTTATCCCCCTTTCTCGCTTTCCCTTCCCCACCGCCCCGGAAACCGACAAACAACGTTTCGCCCGCTTCCCCTCCGTCGAGATTCTCTCGATCTGCAGATCGCGGGAGAGATCGAGAGAGAGCTCCAGATACGTCCGATGCTCAATAAGCCTCGCTGATTCATGCTTGTTCGGCCGACAAGCGACTTTTGGCTTGATCGATGGGGACTCGAAATAGTTTGTAACTTGGTAGCCACGGTCGCGTTGCGGTTTCGACTTCGCAGAATATATTTGCGCGTCTCGTCTGCCCGTCTGCGCACCGCCGCTTTTCGTCTCGCCAAGGAATCGGGCATTAATTCATATCGTGTCGATTAATCGGGAACTTTGACGGAAAAATAAGCGTTAAAAATATTCCTCCCCCTCTGTATCTCGGATGTTTGTTGCGCGAAAGATGAATCGCACGCTTAATTGATGCATAGGCGATAAAAGAGATTCTTGCGCTGTGTAAGAGCATCTTCCGGAAAATTGTGAATTATTAACCGCGGAGTAAACTCGCGGAAGAAGGATCGTCCGTGCAAGTCTTTCTTCGTCCTCCGTAATAAACGAGACGTGACTCAAAACAAGGATATTTAATCCATCTAACGATATTTTATACTTCAACTTCTCGCATTGCGGAGGGACGAGTCGCGAAGCGTAGAAAACCAACACAAATGTCGAGTTAAAAAGATTGGAAAATAGAAAACAAGCTTTCTCCCGTTTTAGAATCAAGTAAAGTGTTTCTATAAACAAATTACATTTCTAATGAACGTAATTATGCGAAAAAATTTAAATATCATGATATGTATCATATTTTAAATAATTAATTAAATGGAAGCCAAAATAAGTACATTTGAAAACGCTATTTAAGTCGTAGATTCGGTCATAATTCATTAATTATCCATATATAATCGTACACAAATAATTTATAAGAATTTAAATCTCTCTTTCAACGAAGAATATATTCGTTTTCTTTTCAAAGGGATCCTAAATAAAATTGATGTGATTATAATGTTTGCCGGTGCAAATGCGTCTAATTTTATGTACACGTGATATGATGCCCTCCGTAAAAAGATCAAACGTTTCCTCGAACTGCAATTAATTTGTCGCTCCATTACGCGAGGGTTCTTCTCTCGGCGGGTCACGTTTAATTAAAATCGTTATAACGGCGATCGGTGGATCGTTATAGCTTCAATAATAGGTGCCGTAGATATCCGACGAGAGTTTTCCTCCGGGCAAAAATATACGCGATCTTACTTCTCTCGCGATCTTTCTCCGCCACCTTCCAGAAACGAACCTGTTATTTCTCAGCACACGTCCGCTTCGTTATCAACTAATGTTGAAACGAAACCCACGGTATCAAAAACGCTCGTTGGTTCAGCTATATATCATACCGTCAAAGAAGAAGATACCTTCGAAGACTGGCATAAAACTACATCGAAATACGCAGTTGCCGAACAAATCGAAATTGAATAGTCTCGAAACAATTTTTAAGTGGCCGCCGAACCGGCACTGCTCTCTTTCTCTTTCTTTATCCCCCTTTCTCGCTTTCCCTTCCCCACCGCCCCGGAAACCGACAAACAACGTTTCGCCCGCTTCCCCTCCGTCGAGATTCTCTCGATCTGCAGATCGCGGGAGAGATCGAGAGAGAGCTCCAGATACGTCCGATGCTCAATAAGCCTCGCTGATTCATGCTTGTTCGGCCGACAAGCGACTTTTGGCTTGATCGATGGGGACTCGAAATAGTTTGTAACTTGGTAGCCACGGTCGCGTTGCGGTTTCGACTTCGCAGAATATATTTGCGCGTCTCGTCTGCCCGTCTGCGCACCGCCGCTTGTCGTCTCGCCAAGGAATCGGGCATTAATTCATATCGTGTCGATTAATCGGGAACTTTGACGGAAAAATAAGCGTTAAAAATATTCCTCCCCCTCTGTATCTCGGATGTTTGTTGCGCGAAAGATGAATCGCACGCTTAATTGATGCATAGGCGATAAAAGAGATTCTTGCGCTGTGTAAGAGCATCTTCCGGAAAATTGTGAATTATTAACCGCGGAGTAAACTCGCGGAAGAAGGATCGTCCGTGCAAGTCTTTCTTCGTCCTCCGTAATAAACGAGACGTGACTCAAAACAAGGATATTTAATCCATCTAACGATATTTTATACTTCAACTTCTCGCATTGCGGAGGGACGAGTCGCGAAGCGTAGAAAACCAACACAAATGTCGAGTTAAAAAGATTGGAAAATAGAAAACAAGCTTTCTCCCGTTTTAGAATCAAGTAAAGTGTTTCTATAAACAAATTACATTTCTAATGAACGTAATTATGCGAAAAAATTTAAATATCATGATATGTATCATATTTTAAATAATTAATTAAATGGAAGCCAAAATAAGTACATTTGAAAACGCTATTTAAGTCGTAGATTCGGTCATAATTCATTAATTATCCATATATAATCGTACACAAATAATTTATAAGAATTTAAATCTCTCTTTCAACGAAGAATATATTCGTTTTCTTTTCAAAGGGATCCTAAATAAAATTGATGTGATTATAATGTTTGCCGGTGCAAATGCGTCTAATTTTATGTACACGTGATATGATGCCCTCCGTAAAAAGATCAAACGTTTCCTCGAACTGCAATTAATTTGTCGCTCCATTACGCGAGGGTTCTTCTCTCGGCGGGTCACGTTTAATTAAAATCGTTATAACGGCGATCGGTGGATCGTTATAGCTTCAATAATAGGTGCCGTAGATATCCGACGAGAGTTTTCCTCCGGGCAAAAATATACGCGATCTTACTTCTCTCGCGATCTTTCTCCGCCACCTTCCAGAAACGAACCTGTTATTTCTCAGCACACGTCCGCTTCGTTATCAACTAATGTTGAAACGAAACCCACGGTATCAAAAACGCTCGTTGGTTCAGCTATATATCATACCGTCAAAGAAGAAGATACCTTCAAAGACTGGCATAAAACTACACCGAAATACGCAGTTGCCGAACAAATCGAAATTGAATAGTCTCAAAAAAATTTTAAAATTATATATATACATATATATATGTTTTTTTATGATAGTATTATAAAATATTTATATATATCGAAGAGAATCAATAAACTCGAAAGTTTTGGAGATATTAAACAATATATATTTTTTCCATGCAGTATACTTTTAATTATCGAACGCAGCATTTTTATTCAAACACGTTTATTGCTTCTTATTTCAAATAATCGCAGAATGCAAATTCCTTAACGGAATGTGAAAATAATTCGTCCTCGTTGCATCTTGCTAAAAACTTGGCCGCTCGATTCGAAAATCAATTAGCGACGGATGTTTCCATGTAAGGAGCGAATCGCGCATCACGGACGCGCAATCTTATCGTCCAGAATAGCGTCTGAAAGTGGCGGGGAAAAAGAAGTTTTAATTAAACCTAGAATAAGAGTTTAATCGAGCGAGCCGGATTAATTGCCCCCTCCCTCCGGAGGGGGATTAAAGCGACCATAGGGTCAAAGGGAGAAAACTGGCCAACCTCCTTCGGCGGCGACGGTATCTCGCGACTTCTAAAATACCTCGGGCAAAGCCATCCGTATAAATATGCGCTCGAAATCTCGCTGTGAATGTTCCATTATGTCTAATTAACGGGACGCCCGATTTCGCGCGCACAATGCGAACGTCAGTGGAGTGGATTTCGCTTTTCATTTTCGCGAGAGACATCTCTCGCGTCCTATCAAATGCTTTTAATTCCTGACGATCCGTGAGACGGGCTCGGAAACGCGCACTCCTTTGTGCGCGCTGCACGCCGGGGCGAACAACGACGAATTTGTAAAAATACGACTCTAGAAGACCTCAATATAACGCGAGTACGTTATGAATTAATCGTAGAACATCTCCGTCCCGGTCGCGATTTACCTTCAAAGACTG